CTAGTGACTTTCTTTTTTTTTTTTGAGGATGTCTAAATGTTATCTACGGTCTTTTAAAAGCTGTGCAGATATAAATGTGAATGTGGTCAGCCTAATGCAAACAAACATATCTGTAGGTGTAAATTTTAGGAACACGGGGCCTATTTATAAAGGCTAATACACACTTTTGCAATAGAGCTCATTGCTTTCTGCTTAATGTTATGGCAGGCGGGGAAAGGTACCCCAAAAGTTGGTCATAGCAGAGGTGCCCATAAACAAGACCATAAGCATCTTCATGAGCATCTAGCTAGTTCTTCAATTAATAGATATTTATTGGATAATAAATCGACATAACAAAGATTATATGGTATATATGCTGTAGGTATTATATTACGCATACCACGAGACTCTGCCACATCTCAGTGTCTCTCCACAACCCTCCTGAAGTGGCCGGATAGAGTCACGAAATGCGTTGAAACTGTGTTTTTTATGTCAATTGATCATCCAATAAATACATACAGTATTAAGTGAAGAACTACCTAGATGCTCATGGTCTTGTTTTTGGACACCTCTGCTATTGCCGACTTTTGGGGTACCTTGTCCCAAATGCTACAACAAACACTCCCCAGCCACCAAGCTCTGACCAGCATCGACTGCGACCACACCAAAGATCTGATGACGAAAAAGACGTCCTCTGTGCGGGGAGAGGTATATTCCCCGAACAAAACAAATGGCAAACGCACTCATCAACTCGTAACCAGATTTAAAGCAAGGTGCACGTGGAAAGGCTTTATACAGTTTTTTAACCTTAGCAGTTAGAGAGGTTTTTTTTGCATGCTGGCTGGTCAGTGTGCTGGGAAACTTTTTGCTGTTGTACTGTATAAATCCCTTCCATGTGCACCTTGCTTTAAAGCTGGTTACGAGTTCATGATTGTGTTTGCCATTTGTTTTGCTTCACTGATTTGGTGCACTGACACACTGGGGGTCTCAGCTGCCGTTGTGACGTGCGAGGTCCCTTGTGTGTCCCTGTGCCTTTAAGGAGGTTGGGCTGCCTCCTGGCGAACCTGCACCCAATTTTATATTTTGCTACATGTGCTCCAAGATGATGACTCTCATAGGTTAGAGTTAGAACCGCACTACACAGAGGGGCCTTGACGAGGCAGTGGGGCTTTCACATATTCTGTAGAAGACGTGTATCTAAAACCTGTTTTTTAAACTTAGCGGTTATACAAGTTTTTTTTTGCATGCTGGTGAGTGTGCTGGGAAACTTTTTGCTGTTGTAAGGTATATTCCCTGCACGCCTTCTTTGCATGGTTGCCTGATATCCCTAATGGGATGTCCCGCAACACCTATGACATGGAATTTCACCATACCATATAAACTACTACACTAAATCAATTCTCTACTGGGACTTCTGTCCCTTTCTTTTTTCTTCTCCCCCTTTTCCTGGAGTCTTTTTCATTCTGCTTAATGCATGCAACTCACATCAGCGCATGTTATGTGTGTTACCACATTGTGGTGCCATTCATTTTGAATGCCACCCCAACAGTCTAAGGCAAAGCAGATCAGACGCACATGTGTTGCAGTGCACTACAAAGCAAGGTAACGCACTACTACGCTTTGAGGTGCACTGCTTTGTAACAAAATGCTGCATGATGTGTTTTTGGGTCTGTTCCTGGGCGTTAGCACCCCTGAAATGCAATGCATGTAAATGTGTGCCACAATGTTCCCTTGCATGTGTTAATGCAATGCACAGGAAAACAGTAGTGTGAATAGGCCCTAAAGGCTGTAAGTGGTAAGTTTGCTATTTTCTTTTGCTTGATTTATTTCTAAAACCTCATATGGGGTTGAGTTACAGTTAAGGGCTGGTTCACACTACACAGGTGACTCGTGTTATTCTGCCCAGACTGCAAGGGCACAAAGAAAACTATTGTAAGGTGGGTTGCAGTTTATTGCAAAAAAATACACAAAAAAGGTAACGAGTGGCTTGTAGTAACACAAGACACTGATCCTGAGTGTTGGATGCCTGATTCCCCACTTAGTGTTGTGGGTCCATCTAATGGTTCCTATGTCACTAGTGTGAAACTACCCTAAATACACCCCACACAGACCCACAACCTCTAAGTAAACAAAGAAAAAGTAGACATTTTTCTATGTGCAACTTTTTTAAGTTCTGCAGAATTTTGCTAACAGCAAAATCGGCATTGTGTAGCAAAATTGACTATCGCCACAACCACTCCACTCCACTCATCCTTAGTTGTAACATAGAATGTATGACACAGGGTGAACGTTGCAGCAGGTCCAGCTGTCCAGTGATCAACACAATCAGTAGACTCATCAGTGACCAATCTGTCCACCTATGGTCACCTTTGCGCTCCCAGAAACTCCAAAAAGGGACTTTTGCTTCACACCGCAGGCACTGACAGGGTGGAAAGTGTGGTGTTTATTTGCTGGTGTAAGTTGAAAGGAAATTGCACCATGGCGTTATCTGAAACCAAAACATCAGCTAAGGTCACCTAGACAGGTGAGAAGAGAGTGAGGAACCAGAGGGGTTCCCAGGACAGACAAGATTAATGCAGTCTGCTATGACCTCGGACTAGAGGACAGCGTTCAGGGGTGCCACTTCCAGCCCGGTATTCCTAACTCGACAAAATCAAGGCCGATAGATCAGAGCGATGTTGACAAACCACAATTCCTGTGCACATATGGGCGCCGCTTATGATGAGCTTTTATTTTCTGCATCAGTGCTAGTTTTATTTCTCCATTTTGGATATGATCATTAGGGTGATTTATTAGCAAGTAATCACAGGCATTTTGTGCATATGCTTTACCTTGTTTGCTGGCAACCGATACCTCTCTGGCTATTAGCGGAGGAAAATGTTTAAAGTGACCTACAAATTTATCTCTACACTAGAAAGAGGCAAAGACTGAAACATGTTTTCAAAGCCCGCCTGACAAATCCATTCTGTCAGCAAGTTTAAACGACAGTCTGTTTTTTTGTTGTTTTTTTTTGTTTGGATACTTACAAGGAGACGGCAATGAGTGTAACTCACTGCAACCAAGTATAACATAACAGTATAACAGTTTACTGCTCTAATTCGAAATGTGGAATCTCATTGGCTGAAATCATTATTGTTTTTTTGTTTTTTGCACATCGTGACTGACCAATTAAAAGGCAGGGCCAAGAATATATCTTTAGTTTGGGTTTTAGCTCTGTGCTTTAGACTTAAAGTGTATTTCCACTTAACATAAGAGACTAGATTAACCAACATCCATATGAAAACACAAACACACATATGCGTTATTATTTATATGGATGCACCGATACCGGTACTTCCTCTAGCATGGAGCCGGCTTCCTGATTGCTTGGGTGGAGTATCATTACCTGCTGCCCGGCTTCTTGATTGCCCGGGAAGCCGACTCCATGTTGTTTGGATGGCTCAATGTTGATTGGGTGGGAAGCCGGCTTCCCAGCCAATCAGCATCGAGCTGGCTGTTTGGTCGGCTCGATGTTGATTGGCCAGAAAGCCAGCTTCTCAGTCAATCAGCATCAAGTTAGCTTACCGGCCAATCAGGAAGCTGAACGGCGTGTCATTACCCACTGCCTGGCTTTTGATTGCCCGGGAAGCCGGCTCTATGCTGTTTGGCCGGTTCGATGCTGATAGGCAAGGAAGCTGGCTTCTCAGCCAATAAGCATGGAGTTGCTTCCCTGGCAATCAGGAAGCAGGGTGGCGAGTTATTACCTGCCGCCCGGCTTCCTGATTGGCCGGGTAGCTGGCTCTATGTTCCCTCGCGGCCCTGCCGGTAAAAAAAAATCTCCCTCTGACTGCAAGCTCCGGTATTAGGGAAGGTATTGAAGCTTACTCGGGTATCTGCACCGATAACGATACTAGTATTGGTATCGGTACATCCCTAGTTATTAATTATCGGGGTAACATACACTTTAAGTATAATTTACTTTATTATGCCAAATGAGGAGATCTGTTGTTTGAAAAATTGTAACTGTGCTAGAAAGTTAACTCAGTTTGCCTGATTATATAAAATCTGATTTGATATAAGTTAGGCGTCGGCTGTAATTTTTAATGACCGTTGACAACATGGTTCCTGGGATTTACCCAGCCCTGCCTTAAAGCTACATTATTGTATATACAAAGTCATAATTATTTGGTCTGTCAGGTTTTTAATGGATTCATGTTTCCCAGCTGGAGGAATTCACCCTATTTATTGTGGGACAGAAAATCCTGTTCCAGTGGCACCTATTCAAGAGGGGATTTTTTTCTTATGTGATGGGAAATCTCCCCATTGGGACAAACAAAAGAAACCTCAACATTACAAAAATGTTAAATATATCTTTCACATTATAATTTTGTTAATCAAGCCTCTTATCAATCATTCTGTAATGTGGGGCTTGCCTCCCCCTGATCTTCCCTGCATTGCATGCAATCTTTGGGGTCTACAAAATCCCTTATGCCCAGCAATACATAATTCCGTAACTGCCTGCAAATGACCAACTAAATTATTTGCTGGAATCTTGAGCTCCCCATTACCTTCACTTTTTTTCGGAAATACTTTCTTGCTAGATAACCACGCCACCATTTCTGGATCACAGTCACCATTCGGTTCAGGTACCTGGCATGAAGATATGAGGAAACTCTTGTTAGATATGTAGTATATGCACACAGTCCATTCCTCACACTAATAGCTGGGATCTGATTATCAGTTTAGTACTTTAATTTTATTGTTGTTTTTGAAAAGTACAGGCCAAGCACATGTTGCCTTTCACTGTCTAACTTGGTTGGAAGCTGTAAGTGAAATATGTTGCGCTAGGTCCGTGTTGCAATTACTGATTAGCAATCATGTGCCTCAAACCTGAAAGTGATAAGCAGGGACTTAGAGTGCAGTCCCTGCAACTCTATTAACCCCAGCAAAAATATTTTAAACTCTATAGTGATAGCCAAGGCTAAACAGCTTCTGCTCACCCTTGTGACAGGGAGTGATATTCGATATAGTGAACCAATATTAAAACTTCCTTTTTTATAAACACATGTATCCACTCTAAACGTGGAATAACACTGAGAATTTGGACTACTGTGTATCACATACCAAAGATTCTATAGTGGATAAAAAACATATCTTATGTGAGCACCTCAATATAAACGTGATGAATGAATCTGCGGATTCTATATATAAACCATTACAAATAAAGTGAATCAGTGACTCAAATTTAAAATTCTTAGTGTTATTCCACTCTAAGCCCTCGTTCATACCTGAACGTTTTGTAGCGCGTTCTACGCTCGACGAACGCTCTACAAAACGCTCAAAAATATAAATCCCATTGTATTCAATGGCCTCGTTCCCACCTTGGCGTATTTCCGCCCGTCCCTAACGCGCTACAAAACGGCCCACGCCTGAAAAGGTACAGGTACTACTTTGGGCCGTTTTGTTGCGCGTTTCCATTGGGCTACAGCCAAGTAGCCTTCGGAAACGCGCGACGGTCGCGCAACTTTTTTTACCGCGAATCGCGGTACAAAAACGTGCGACAGACGCGCATATGCAATACGCCTAGGTGTGAACGAGACCTAAGTCCCTGCTTATAACTTTCAGGTTTGAGGCACATGATTGCTAATCAGTAATTGCAACACGGACCTAGCTCAACATATTTCACTTACCATTTCACAGGTTTTATAACCACACATTGTTGCGGCTGGTTCACTTTAAACACACATTTCTCCTAGTGCGGGTTTTTTTGTTTTTCTATCACTTGGTTGGAAGTTGGAATCTGATTTGTGCACAGATAATGCGCTGTGTCCTTTGCTGTGAATGATACCCAGTGTTCATCTTCAACTGGAGCCATGGGTTGAGTCAATCACTGGCTCCTAGGATACTTCCAAAAATGAGATCTCCCTACAATAGCTGTTCACTGTCGATTGACCACCTTGGCATTTTATATATTCCAGTTCCTCCTGCATTCTCCATAACATAAGATAAAAATGTAACAGGGAGGATAAGAGACCCCTCATATTGGCCACAGGAGGTGTATAGGAATTCAACCACAGAGATTTCCAATGGGGTCCAAGAGTTATAAGTCAGGGGTCTATTAAGGTCATGGTATAGCTAGTAGTAGTTTGTCTCATTCAAATGTACTTGTTCTATAATGTTGAGGACATTTCACTACTCCTACTAATGTAAATGAAACTCTCATTAGAAATGAGCAAGCTACTTGGATGCATACTGAAATGTCCTCAACATTATGGAATATGTCTATTTGAATGTTCTAACTACTACCAGGTAACCTGTTAGGTAATTTATCCAACATTGACCAAAACTAAAATATAGGTTTGGGGTTGTCTGACCTTATAATTTACACAATTCTTAAAGTGACACAAAACTCAGGAGTTAAATCTTAAAATACATTCAAGTACCTTAACTATCAACAAAAATGTATCATATTTGTGTATCACTCGGTTGTAGATCCTCCAATCATCTCTGAATTGGTGCTGACACTGTCCTTCCTTCTGGAGGGTGAATACTTTTGTTCCCCATGGTCCCTGTGTGTGTTGTAAAGTAGTCACCGCTCCAAGCTCACTCCTGTGATGGACTACAATCTCAATACAAATAAGTAAACTAAACATGAGATTGTAGTCCATCCCGGGAGTGATCTTGGAGCGGTGACTACTTTACAGGATTACAGGACCTTTCTTCTCAGTCCATTTCAAATAATCAATCTGCCAGAGTTTAACTTTGAATTGTTTGGGCCTGTAGACGGGTATAAATCTTATATTGGGAAACATGATGTTTTTGTGGGTTCCAGACGTCATATAAGCGATTACACACTATGCAGGTCCATGTAGCAATTAACTACTAAACAAATAACTGATAAAATACAAATTCTAGGTGGCTCGTTCTCCTATCTCAGCTGTTGTCCAGCAAGGATCCTGAATAAACTTGAAAGATATACATATAGCCAGCAGGGGGATAAACTAGAATGTGGCTACCCCCGCACTGCAAGGGTTAACTGCTTGTTTTTGCCTGGGTGCTAAAATACAAAAGGTATACTCACCCGATTCTTGGAGTTGGCTTTTTCTTAGACCGGTCCTTCCAGCCTCTCTCCCCTTCTGCGGTCTAAGAACCCGTAAAGCATAATATTCTATACATAGAAGGGAATTTATCAAAACTGAAGCAGACAAAATCTGGAGCAGCTGTCTATGGCAACCAATCAGCTTCTCTCTTGGCTGCCATGCACAGCTGCTCCAGATTTTGTCTGCTCCAGTTATGATAATTCCAATGCTGGAGTGTAGGAGGAGACAGGTTTTAGCGAACAGAGAAGCAGGGAGCCGGGAGCCTGCTCAGCGGTTTAGGTGTGTATAACTTTATTTTTTAGCACCTATACTAAAACAACTAGTTAACCCTTGCAGGCCGGGGGTAGACCCAATACAAGGGTTAATACAAGTTTTGCCTGGAGTTCTTCTTTAACAATACCCTTCACTGGAAACACCTGAACTCAATCATTTGAAGGACTGACCACATACTTCTGGTCATATAGTGTACATAGATTGAAGAGTCAGACAATTAACACCCCTTTACTGCCAGCCCAAATGGCATCAAGAGGAAATGGCAGATGCCTCAGTGCAAGTCAGGCAAGGACTGAAGAAAATGCCCGCTGCTTGACACCACCAGGGGTAGTCTTAGGGCATTATGAAGAATGCTTCACACTTGTACTAGAAGTGATCAGTGTCCCGGTCTACATAGTATACACCATAGGACCCCTAAGTCCCAGAGGGCCCTTGTGCAGTTGTAAAGTCTGCACAAACTATTTGTCTGCCCCTATATACAGTGGCTGAGTGTTTGGCACTTTGGCTAGCAGCACTGGGGGGGTCCCGCTTCAATTCCCAGTCAGGACACTATCTGCAAGGGGTTTGCAGGAGTTTCCCTGTGCTTGCGTGGATTTTCTCCCACACTCCAAAGACATGCTGGAAGGTTAACTGACCCTGTATGTCAGTGCAATAGAGACCTTAGATTGTAAGCTCCTTGAGGGCTGTACTTGTAAAGAATAAAATATACTCTTTTTTTATCTTGGGGCCAGTTTACCTGATGACACAAAGGCCTTTTGCACTGTAGCATTATGACACTTATTGATACCACCGTGTGATTATTGAATGGTTGTCAAAGTGTCAAAAGCATACACTATGACAGTTCTAGCAAACGCAAATAAAGAAGAGACTTACCTGAGATAGGCTCTCACCCTGCATCCTCTAAACCAGCTCTGGATCACCACTGCAGCAGCGTACTCTGCCGGCCTGTTCTCTTCAGCAGCTCTGTAAAAGTCAAATTCAAATTTCCTGACTTGCAATTTTTACAGGGATTTTATGGTCTCTGTCTCTTTTGTTTTTCAGATTTATATATGTATACATACATGTGTGTGAATGTGATCAGCTTAAAGCAGAACCCTGGGCTGTTTCTCTCAAAGTCCCTCTGAATGCTTAAAACAATGGCTGCAATACTCACCTCCTCTCCGACGCTGTTCCCTGCAGTACCTCTTCTCTGCCGCAGGATGTCCTTAGTCTTGTGCCATTCAATTAAGAAGACTGAGGACATATTGTGAGTGCATCGTAAACCTGTACCATGGGATCACCATGATGCCCTTCACATAAGGTGTATAGATACAGAGAGCAGCACTGACGTCATCACCTTTCTCTGCATTATTGAGATGGGCCGAGATAACATCTGAAGACGGATGCATGTCACATGACTGGCCTAGGAACATCTGGAAACAGGTTAATATATATATAAAAAAAACATAAATATTATTACTCAATAAACTCATGTGCAGTGTGACTGACAGAGGGAGATCTCCCTCTGACCCAAAGTTCTGGTATCGTAGGTAAGTATCAGAGCATTTGAGCAAATACGAGTACTCGCCCAAATACTCAGTATAGGCACCGATATCAATGCTAGTATCGGTGCATCCCTAATTATATATATTAGAGGTGCACCGAAATGGAAATTTCAAAAACGAAATTAAAAAAAATTGTTAGGCCGAAACCGAAAATGTTTTTTTCTTTTCATTCATTCAAATTTTTTAAATACTTTATTTTTTATAAACTTTTTAATATTTATTTTTATTTATTAATTCATTTTTTATTAAATATTTTTATTTTTTACTTTACTTTTAGGGGCTTCGGTGAAATATTAGGGGTCTAAACAGACCCCTGATATTTCCCTTTTAAAATAGAAAAAGAGATGGAGGACACAGAGTCCTCCATCTCTTTTTCTGCAGCCCCTGTTATCAATGGACAGGAATCCTCCATGAGTGTTCCTGTTCATTCATAACATGAGGACAGAGTATGCTTACTATAACCACAATCAAGAATGAACAGGAGGGGATGTAGATCACTTCCCATTCATTCATAATTGAGGATATAGTCAACATACAGTGTCCTCAATTATCTACAAACACTCAGCGATCACTGATCTTCTTCCTGCCACTCACTTGGTAATGAGGGAGCATGGAGCCAGCTTCCCGGCCAATCAGGAAGCCGGCCGCCGTGTAATGATTTGCCACTTGGCTTCCTGATTGAACAAGCTCTCCAATCACAATCTGGCCAATCAGGAAGCCCGGCGGCGAGTCATTGATTGGCCAGAAAGCCGGCTCCATGCTTTCTCGTCATCTGGTGACCAGAAAGCATGAAGACGACTTCCCTGCTAATCAGGAAGTCGGGTGGCAAGTCTTTACGCACCGCATGGCTTCCTTAATGGGACTTCCAGTATCGGTATTCAGTATCAGCGAGTACCGAAAAAAAAATATCGGTACTTGCATCGCGGCTCACTTATTTGCAGGGCTGAAGGGGGCATGGTGGGCCATTGAAGTAAATAGCACCGTAGCCACTCCCTCCGGCCGCAATGCGATCGCCCGCAAGGCACCTTGTGCCTGCAGTGCATTCGGGTGCGGTGCGATCAAAATAGTGCTTGCAGCATTTTTATTGCACCACACCCAAACGCACTGCCTGTACAATGTGCCTTGTGATCCCGTGTGGGTGATCGCATTGCAGCCAGAGGGCGTGGCTATGGTGCCATTCACTTCAATGGCCCGCCACTCCCCCTCCAGCCTGGCAAAAAAGTGAGCCAGCTGCAATGCGGGCAGTGCGTTCCGGCCAGAATCGGACCGGAGCACACTGCTTATGGTGTGAACTAACCATAAGCCCTGTGTCCAGTATACATGTGTGATTCGTTTTGGAAAAATTAGTTTTCCGGACGAAATTTCGTTAGCGGTAGTCTGTACGCATTTTCGTTTGTGGACAAATTTTCATTGCAGCAAAGTGACAATGTAAAAAAATAAATGTTAATGTCACTTTGCTGCAATGAAACGAACGATACGAACATGAAACGGAAATTAACATTGGTACCGAATACCGCTAACGAATTTCGTCCGAATCCCGAAATAACGCAAAATCCGAATCAAAACAACATGAAACTAAACAATTTTTTTGCCGGTGCACATGTCTAGTGTCCAGTGGGTCACGAAGCCCTGCGTCCAGTGGGTTACGAAGCCCTGCGTCCAGCAGGTAATGTAACTGTGGGGGGGGGGACATTAGAGTGTAAGCTGCTATGTACAGAGACTGATGTGACGGGGGGGCATTATAGTGTAAGCTCCTCTGTACAGAGACTGATGGGACCGGGGCTGCAACAACTGTCGGTGCTGCAAAATCGATGATGGAAAATGTTGTCAACATTTTCCATCATCGATTAGTTAGCTTACGATTAGTTGCCCCTGTTTGGCGGCTCCACACGCACCGCACGCTTTACGCCACACCTGCTCCCCGCCTCTCAGCTCTGAGCTCTCTCCCGCCGCTGCCCGCCAAGATGATCACGTCGTTGCAGGGAGATCCCAGTGTGGGGGAACGGCAGCTGCCGACAGTCCCAAGATCTCGGAAGAAAGTAAAGTTGCTTAAAGAGTGTGCAGGTAAGAAAACCGGGCGGTGCGGGGGGGGGGGGGCCCTAGCCTAAAGCCGTGTAAGGGGCCCCGAAATTTCTGATGGCTGCCCTGCACCTGCCGATTATCGCATGATTTTACGTTGATTAGCAGGTGACTTACGAGCATATTGGAAAACCAGGCGAAAATCGTACGATTTTCGTCGGGTTTGTGGCCTGCTCGTAAGACAAATGCCCCATGGACCAGTGTGCGCAAGCGCACACTGCCCGCTCAGCATTGCAGTCATCGGAAGCCCGCCCGTCAGCTGGACGGGCTTACGATGATCGCAAGTACGATCTGCCTGTCCAAGATAGGCAGATCGTACGTTTTTTTAATTACCTTACAACCATCGCAAGACGAAAGTGTTGCGATGGTTGTAAGGTGTATGGCCAGCTTAAAACTGAGTGAGGAACAACCAAAGTCTGCTACTTAGGTGAGGTTGTGGAAGACAGTTTCATGCCACAGGTCATACACCATGGCAAGACTGAGCACTGCAACACGGCACAAGGTAGTTATACTGCGTTAGCAAGGTCTATCCCAGGTAAAGATTTCAAAGCAGACCGGGGATTTAAGATGTTCTGTTCAAGCTCTTCTGAAGAAGCACTAAACAACGGGCAACCGTGAGGACCGTAGACGCAGTGGTCAGCCAAGGAAACTTAATGCAGCAGATGAAATACACATCATGCTTATTTCCCTTAGACATCAGAAGATGTTCAGCGGCACTGCACCGAGCTAGTGGAAACCAGTGGGACCCAGGTACACCCATCTACTGTCTGGAGAAATCTGGCCAGAGGTGGTCTTCATGGAAGAATTGTGGCCAAAAAGCCATACCTCCAATGTGGAAACAGGGCTGTGACTCAACTATTCATGAAAACATAGGAACTGGGGTGCAGAAAAATGGCAGCAGGTGCTCTGGACTGCTGAGTCAAAATGTGAAATATTTGGCTGTAGCAGGAGGCAGTTTGTTCACCGGAAGGCTGGAGAGCGGTACAATAATGAGTGTCTGCAGTAACAGTGACACATGGTGGAGGTTCCCTGCAAGTCTGGGGCTGCATTTCTGCCAATGGAGTTGGAGATTTGGTCAGGATCAGTGGTGTCCTCAATGCTGAGAAATACAAGCAGATACTTATCCATCATGCCATACCATCAGAGAGGCGTGTGATTGGCCCGAAATTTATTCTGCAGCAACGACCCCAAACATACAGCAAATGAGCGGTACAAAGAGCAGCGCCCAGCGGGGAGGAGAGAAAGAACGAATGCACCGCTGTATCGGCCAGAAAATTGCACTTTTGGCATTATGCCAAAAGTGCCATTTTTGCCCGATATCTTTTCGGCGGCCGATATATCGGTGCATCCCTAGTAAAAACTGTGGCAAGAAGTCCAATATTTTAGAGTGATAACCGAAACAGGAAGATGGGGAAAATATTCCTATGAGGTAATGGGGGACACGCAGAAATTTCCCTCACTTTAGAGATATCTCTTCTCACTTCCTGTTGGGTCTATGTGAGAGGAAGTAAAGGCAGATCTCCCTAATGGGTCACAGTAGAAAATTAGGTTTTTGAGGATATATCGAGCACACAAAATTATATCCAAAATTAAAAAGGTTTTTTTGCTTTACGTACACTTTAAAGCCAACACTCTCTGGACTCTACTGAGCACGCAATGCATAATGGGACTTGTGGCCTCGGTGAGTGTCAGCTGACACAGAGTTCCCACTTTAATAACTTCGGGAAAGTTTTATTCCTCTGGGCACCCTGCCCGTATTAAGAGTTTGGGGAGCCCCGCCGGGTTACCTGCACTGCCGGAAATACTCCGGTATGAGGCCGGGCAATTCTCTTCGGAGCCTCTCCAGGGTGGCCATGTCCCCGCAGTCTGGACGCGTCTCCCGGGAGACCGAATGTACTACTCTAGACGGAGGGAATATAACAAAAATGTGCGTCTTTTTTTTACAAATTTGACTTTAATAAAAACAGATTATTTAATTATTGTTGTTTATAATTTAAATGACATATAATAAAATCATAACGGATAGATAATACGCAATAGGTTACTTGTTGTTTTATTTTGCTAAAATGGTTCATTCCGGCTTCCGCTCCCCAGCTCCGGAGCGCTAAAGCCTAGACGCGTCTCCATGGAGACGGAGCTGTACCACTGAACACGGGGGGGAATAATATACATTCTGTCCAAATGCTCTCCAATGCGACTATAAAATTTATTTTTATAAATAAAGTTTTTAATGAAAACGTTAATTCTGTATTTTTCTTCTTTTTGTCAGCTTTAGGTTGCTCGTTTCCTAACATGTTGAAATGGTATGCCCCGACTTCCGCTGGCCTCTGCTTCAGGTCTCTTACTGGTGCTCCGGAAGCGACATGGTGGCTCAGTCCTCTGCCCCGACTCGGCTGTGATCCTGGGGGAACCCCGCAAGCTTTGTTCATGGTTGGCGTGGCCAGGAAACACATCCGAGCCAATAAGGGAAGCAGCTGGTGAGTGATTGGTTGGTCGATGAGGTGTCTATGACATAACTAGGGGCCCCAGAGAGTCAAGGGCCCCCATTATCACATTAAGGGCCCCTTGTGCAGCCAGGGACTCTCTTACCCCCTGCAGTGGAACACCTTCCCGCCTTCTGATCAGGGCTCTCTGTCCTGTTCAGTATAATGTGTACCTGTCTGGTTAGTAATATGAAAGCTGACATTGCTGGCTTGTTAATGGTGGAGGCCCTGTCATCCTCATCCTTGCTTCCAGGCTTAGTCACTGACTAGGGACACGCATGGGCAGAGCAGGCGGCCTGTTATCTTTGAGGTCTGCCAGGCCACATTCTTGTTCGAGGTCGGCGACTATGTAGGAATGGTAACAAGGATGAAGATGACAGATCTGAAAGCTTGACTCCAGGCACACAGCTGAGTACACAGATTTCTGTCCATCCAGTCCTCAGATTTACATAGCTCTGCCACACAGCATGGCTCTGTCTGGCTGGGGAGGAAGCCTGATCTTCCTCTGCTGCAGTTTAGTAACAGCAGACGTGTAACTTGTACATTCTGGTGCGGGTTGTTTACATGCGGTTTGATTCTCTGCCGCATCCAACACAGACCAACGCATTTGTATGACATGGACGGGCACAACGTGAACAATTGTTTTCTCAGTGTCCTTGCGGTGCGCCTGTGTTGGTCAATGCAGAACAGTGCACCTGGTGTGAACGAGCCCTTTTGGGTATTGTTTATTCCTAAGGCTGGGAATGGACAGTGAAAGGAGAAACAGTACACTGAAGAGCTCATCTCTCTGTCCCTCTGATCTCTCCTCCTGTTTGCATGTTCATTGTTAGCACGGAGCACTTCAGCACAACTGATTGGCTCCTGGGGCTGCTGCTTCTACCAGGTCAAAGTCAGGTACTTACGATGCTTATATATATATATTTTTTTAAATATACATTTCATGATTACATGATTCTGTGTTGTTACTGTGTGCCTGGAGTTCAGCTTTGTCCGTATGTTTCCATGAGCAGGGTTTGATGTTGGTTTTGGAAGTTCTATATTGAATTGTGTAACCGGACCGTGTCAAGTCTGCAAAAAAACAAAACATCCTCTGTGTCATCCAGTCACCTATCTGTCGCCCCGCGTCTCCTGCTTCCTCCCCGTTCCAGCTCTGCAGTTGATTTAAAGGAACTTGTGAGGAGAGAAGTGTTGAAGCTGCCATTGGTGAGGCTCCAGGTTGCCTCCTCATCCTGGATTCACTACTTAGTCACTTCTTTGGAACAAGCATTATGCCAGTGAAGTATAAAAAGTCTGAGTACTATAGGTAGTGAAGTGAGGATAAGAGCCGAGCACCTTAAAGGGCCGGTTCTGTTTTAGTGTTTGTGTCCATGAGGCCCGCTCAGCTCATTTCCCAGGTAACTCGTGCACCTCCCACTCATGCAGTGGCCATAGTCAGTGAACAGAGTGTCAGCAGGATGTAAGGCTGTGGAGGGGTCTAGCTAAAGATTTTGAAGAAAAGGTGTGTAAAAAACAGAGCCTGGGAACCAAGGGGCTCCACAGGTGAAGGTGTTCGGGTTCTTTGCCACAATGTCCTGGCGTGGGTATTTGGGTGCTCTACCCGGATGTTGGTGTTTGGGCGCTCTTCCCTGATGTGGGTATTTGTGTGCTCTACCCCGGTGTGGGTGCTTGCGTGCTCTACCCCTGGTGTGGGTGCTTGCGTGCTCTACCCCGGTGTGTGTGCTTGCGTGCTCTACCCCGGTGTGGGTGCTTGCGTGCTCTACCCCTGGTGTGGGTGCTTGCGTGCTCTCCCCAGGTGTGTAGGTGCTTGCGTGCTCTACCCCGGAGTGTGTGCTCTACCCCGGTGTGGGTGCTTGCGTGCTCTACCCCGGAGTGTGTGCTCTACCCCGGTGTGGGTGCTTGCGTGCTCTACCCCGGAGTGTGTGCTCTACCCCGGTGTGGGTGCTTGCGTGCTCTACCCCGGAGTGTGTGCTCTACCCCGGTGTGGGTGCTTGCGTGCTCTACCCCGGAGTGTGTGCTCTACCCCGGTGTGGGTGCTTGCGTGCTCTACCCCGGAGTGTGTGCTCTACCCCGGTGTGGGTGCTTGCGTGCTCTACCCCGGAGTGTGTGCTCTACCCCGGTGTGGGTGCTTGCGTGCTCTACCCCGGAGTGTGTGCTCTACCCCGGTGTGGGTGCTTGCGTGCTCTACCCCGGAGTGTGTGCTCTACCCCGGTGTGGGTGCTTGCGTGCTCTACCCCGGAGTGTGTGCTCTACCCCGGTGTGGGTGCTTGCGTGCTCTACCCCGGAGTGTGTGCTCTACCCCGGTGTGGGTGCTTGCGTGCTCTACCCCGGAGTGTGTGCTCTACCCCGGTGTGGGTGCTTGCGTGCTCTACCCCGGAGTGTGTGCTCTACCCCGGTGTGGGTGCTTGCGTGCTCTACCCCGGAGTGTGTGCTCTACCCCGGTGTGGGTGCTTGCGTGCTCTACCCCGGAGTGTGTGCTCTACCCCGGTGTGGGTGCTTGCGTGCTCTACCCCGGAGTGTGTGCTCTACCCCGGTGTGGGTGCTTGCGTGCTCTACCCCGGAGTGTGTGCTCTACCCCGGTGTGGGTGCTTGCGTGCTCTACCCCGGAGTGTGTGCTCTACCCCGGTGTGGGTGCTTGCGTGCTCTACCCCGGAGTGTGTGCTCTACCCCGGTGTGGGTGCTTGCGTGCTCTACCCCGGAGTGTGTGCTCTACCCCGGTGTGGGTGCTTGCGTGCTCTACCCCGGAGTGTGTGCTCTACCCCGGTGTGGGTGCTTGCGTGCTCTACCCCGGAGTGTGTGCTCTACCCCGGTGTGGGTGCTTGCGTGCTCTACCCCGGAGTGTGTGCTCTACCCCGGTGTGGGTGCTTGCGTGCTCTACCCCGGAGTGTGTGCTCTACCCCGGTGTGGGTGCTTGCGTGCTCTACCCCGGAGTGTGTGCTCTACCCCGGTGTGGGTGCTTGCGTGCTCTACCCCGGAGTGTGTGCTCTACCCCGGTGTGGGTGCTTGCGTGCTCTACCCCGGAGTGTGTGCTCTACCCCGGTGTGGGTGCTTGCGTGCTCTACCCCGGTGTGGGTGCTTGCATGCTCTACCCCTGGTGTGGGTGTCTGGGTGCCCTGCCCTGACGCTGGTGTCTGGATGCCCTACACTGGAGTTTGGGTACACTGCTGGTGCAGGGGTTTGGGTGCTTATCCCCAATGTAGGTGTGTGTGTGCTCTGCCCCTGTGTGGGGGTTTGGGTGCACTTCCCTGATGGTGGAGTTTGGGTACACTGCTCCGGCACTGGCAGTTGTAGTGCTTTAGCATTGATGGTACATTAGAAATGTCTTCGCTCAGATTCACTGCCATTCAGCTTTATTCTTCTTCACAGGTATGTTTATGGGGGGAGATTGGAGTACTCGTAGGAAACCCTCCCAAACGCAGACAACAGACATTCATACAATTCTCATGCACATGAATGATTTTATTTAGGAAACACTCTTGTAGATTTGATAACCAGGAAGGATGAGACACGTGTCACCTGTATTTTCATAGCAGATATTACTAAGGCAGTTGTGTCTGATCTCTGTAGGAGGTACTATGTTGTTGATCTGTGATTGGCCGTCTCTGCGATGACATCATATTTAATTCTGTGATTGTAAACATTACTTGGTATCCATGGCCCTTTATCAATGTTCTGTCACGTGAAGGATCTATGTTATTGCAGGCTCGCAGAGTTCTGTATGGTGACTCAGACTGGCTAGGCCATAAATCCGGGGTGTGCTGGGAACATTACTGAAGGTGTTTTCTTTCTGGTCTAATAGAACAGTGTTGGAATCAGAATGAAGTTGAAATGTGCATTACCGGTGGGGAAGCTTGGCTGGCTCTGCTGGCAAGGCAAATGAGTAAAGCGTGTAGGGCTGCGCCAACATGTTTTCCGTTCTGGACCCTCAAATAGGTTTAAAGTACAAAGAACTGCCATTTAAAAAAATACCAAAACATCCAATTCTGTTTTTCATCTTTTGCTTCTCATCAGTGCTGTTGAATTTCTGCAGCCTCTTCGTAGCCACTTCATGTCGACATAAGCCCCAGGGATGGCTGCATGGCGATTCATTGCGTGGGTTTCCTGATGGTGACGACAGCTGAACATTGGCTGCATGATCTGTGTTGAATGGGCCACTTGTAGTCTCCGTCGATAGCCTGTGTGACAACGCAAGAGCACAATTGGGGGGAAAAAAAGACATTTTTTTTTTTTAAATTTATTTACTTTTCTGTCGAGGGGGCTTTAGGGAAACATCAGAGGTCTAAACAGATCCCTTGGCGTATTGAATATGCGCGTCTGTCGCGCCGTTTTTTTACCGCGATTCTCGGTAAAAAAGTTGCGCGATTACGAAGGCTACTTGGCTGTATCCCA